CATAACCATTTTTTGATCAGGACAAGACCATTCTTTATTTTTTAAGGGGAAATTTCTAAATATATAGTGGTGTGCAGTAGTAGCATGGCTATATTCTGTTACTGCCAAAATAATCTTCTCTTTACATTTATTGGGAAGTTGTACCGATTGTTCCACCTTTAGCTTTAGATGAAGACTTACATAGTAATCTTTACAAATTTTACTATACAGTACAGCAAAACCCATAAGAGTATCACACCCGAATAAATAACACAAAACTGATTTCAGTGTAACTCAATATATAAGCTATCTATTTTGTTATCTCTAGAAGTCTGCTGAGAAAGTGCAGACTAAATAACCTATGACACCATAAAATATGAATCTGCCTTGCTTCCTTTGTTTAAACCTGTCAAGATTTACAGGTTTTTGTAGAACAGCAGCACCTTTATGTCAAATAGCATGCCCTTCAACAATTCTGGTATAGTAGAATCTGATAAACCATTGGGCTTCTGTATGTCAGTTTGCTCCGAAATATGAGGAATGACAGTATATTTGTAGATTATTCATAAAGATAAAATTGTACCTGCAAAAAAGGCATTATTTTCATAATTAGATTAGCAACAGATTTGGGTGGGAGGGGGAATTCAAAGTAAAAGAAATGAAATTGGTTCTAGAACTTCCTGTTCTCAACAGTAGCTTTAAACATTTCTATTTTGTGTCTTCTTGTGATGGAGAGAAAATGCATTTAGACATTAATTGTCTTTAGCCAAATTGACATAGTGCATTTAATTTATTGCCAGATCTCTAAGTCCTAGACCCATTGACCTGAGGCTATCTGTGAAGTATGATGGATAGGTGCTATGCCATTTCATGCTAATTGTATTAATTCAACTTTTCCACATTTCAGTCTGGAGAAGACTTTTTGTCATTTTTAGTGAAAATTTCAAAATATATACTGACTGAATCCTAGACAGTGCACAAATGTGCCGGCTCAGATCTTAGTCCCTACTGGTTGTGTGGGTAGCATTAAAAGCCATTTGTTGCTGACAGCAGGCTAAAATTTAATTAATTAAACTGTATCACAGACTTTTTGAAAACCAAATAAACCAGTAATATATTTTCTTTGCAAAGCAAATTTTTTCATTGTCTTCAACACTTAGGGGGGATAATGGCATAATGGTAAGGTGGATTCCTCTGTATTTGGTGTACCAGTAAATAGGTTTGGGTCCTTGGACTTTGGTTGTGTGGTCTGTCACAACCACGTTTCCCCATACCACACCAAAACATGACACCAATTCTGGTTAGTTCCAACAGGGGGGCTTTAACGTGAGTTGCAAGAACTTAATTCAAAATCAATGTTGAGAGTCATGAAAAAGGTGAGCTAGTTTAACTAGCTGTTAAACAGGCACTTCTAAGTTGTACATGTAGAAAGTCAAGATAGTATTTACATGTACAAATATTTCCCCTGTTTACAGACCAGTCAGCTGATTTTCTCATTATGAAATTGGAGACGGCACTGTGTTCCTTTGTTAACCCTGCTTAAACTTGTTACTGTTTCCAACTGTTCATGCTCAATTTAGATAAATTAAGAATTTGTCCCAGTTTTGACATCATGAAATCATAGGGTCTATTGAGTCCCTATGCTGATTACTGGCCCTCCTTTGAACCGTTAGACAGATAGAATTGAGCCTCGGTGATAACAACAAAATACATCTGTTTGTCGATTATCAAGATATCTAGTTCAATGGGTAATTCTTTAAAGACACAGGACATGATGTATAGAAATTATCAGCGACAATCTTAATTGTAATACATACCTTGTTTACTTGAATAAATTTATTAGCGAAGAAGTGACTCCAATTTAAGGCGTGTGTTAACAGAAATAGTGTTAAATCATCAAATAATTTTTTTTCTCTGGCACTTATAAAGCATTTGTTAATATGGTTAAAAAAATCTTATGTAAATCTTTCTAACAGGTGTATGACTAAATTTATAAAGTGGTCTTGACGTGCATGAATTTGGGGGCTATCCATTGTAAGTTTAAGGGGTTTTCTATTTGATGTGTCAAAATGCTAAAATTAAGGCCCCTTGTTGCCTTTAAGGGTTGAGGCATCAGAATTGCAGCTACGGTTTATCCTAGGGTGATGGTAAGAGGCGACTAAATCAGTCAGAATTACTGGAGTCTATGCATCTCTTAGCTCCAGCAGGTGAGGTTGTTTTGACCCCTAGTGTTGCTTTAAGTTTGTAACGTTCACGGTTAGCTAAAATCATCTTTCCTGTTTTGGCTTCATATATTCTAGGCAAAACAAAAGCTTCAAAATAAGAAAGAAATGAAAGAAAGAAATGAAGAAATAAAACATGTCAAAACAAAAGCTTGTACAATTAGGACTGGTAGGTATGAAGTAAATAGTCGTGTCAGATTGCCTGGATTTGTTGGGTTGCCTAGCTCTATACTGGTGACCCTAGCATTTAAAGTGTTATGTCCACTTAAAAATTAACAAAGAATACATATAGTTCTAAAATTAGTAAGTAAAACTTAAAACAGGATTGAAAAATTAGCCAGCAAAATTTTTTGTAATATTTTGTAAGACCGCCTCTGTGGTCGATGGATTCTAATCCAGTTACCTCTCTGGCGTGGGTTCGATCCCCGGGAGATGCTTTGGTAGTTTAGCACGGAGGAAGGTAGTCTAGTACTGGTGTAACTCTCCAGGAACGATGGTTAGGAAACTACCCGCCTATATGACTGAAATACTGTTGGAAAAAGGCGTAAAATGAAACAAACAAACAAACAAACTTGTAAGTGTATTAAAGACAATATTACAAAAGTGTAATAACAATACAATATGACCTCATTTGTGTTATACAAACATAGTGTAAAAATGCGTGTTAGTGTTACGCTACAGGCGCGTCAATGATAAAAAAATGCTTTTTATTGTAAACATTTTTATCTTATATATGTGATAAATAGAATGTTATATTCCTGTATATGCATTACGAAATTTATTGAACTCGTCAATAAAATCATATGCTCACCAGAGTCTTGCATAGTATAATACCATTCAAATCATTGAATACTAGTAAATTCAGTATTGTACCTACACTTGTTCAATATCTTCTATTTTCTGACCTATATATTGAACTATTCCCACTTTCAGACCTTGGATATTAAAAGTTAAACGGGAGGTGAAATATCAGCATTTTATCAGGGAAATCTTTGTTGTGGCCCATGATTTGTAAGAGGATTAAAAAATGTTGAGCCAAGTTATATCATGTAAGCTGATCAAATGTTTCCGTTATGATAGGACGGTTTTGATTTCTGAAGGCTTCGTTTGGTGTTATACTTGTTGATACAGTATTACACAGTGGGGTCAGATTGTATTGTAAGGACCTCATGGTGAGAGGTGGAAACTTTGTGACTGCATCATGCTGGTTTGATTTATTAGATGCTCAACCAAAGTTACTTATAAATTGAAAAGAAGTAAAGTCACAACAAGTAAATGAGCCATTTGAGATGAGGTTGCAGTTTTGAAATAAGTGATGTAGTTTTGCATTGATAAGGGAAACCATTGTAGGAATTGTAGATTGAGCGTTATTGAATAGCAGTGCTTCATTTGAATTTTCAGAAGATTGAACTTAAATGCATATAAAGTAGATTTTGTTATTCAAAGACCAATTAAAGCATATGTTTTCTAGCATACATAAATATGTAGGGTTTTTCACAGGACTTTGTCTAAGATTTTAGAAATTCTGGTTGATGTCTAAATGCTGTATATAGTCTAAATTAAATGCATGAATGAATATATTTATTTTGTTTGAAAGTGGATCTTCAGTACAAAGTTTTTTTGATACTGGGTGTTTTGTCTTTAAAAATTCAGTGTTTATAGGAATAACTTACTCCGGAATTAAGAACATTTTGGGTTTTTCCAGCTAATACGAGCGTTCAAACTTTTAAAGTTTACAACTTTCATAAGTAAGTGCAACAGGTTGACTGATTTATTGGGAATGGTAGTGCACGGTGAATTAAAACTGCCATGGTAAAAGTATGTTTGTACTGGGTGATGAGTTGGGAAAAACCAAATTTTTCCCAGGCCCGGATTACAACTATTGGAATGCTACATTCAGATTTTGGTCATGGTTTGAGAGATGATGTGAGATTATATATATATATTTTTTTTTTTTTCATAAAAAAGTTATATATACTTAATATAGGTATTTTCCTTATTGACAAACTTTTTCAAAATTCCTGGTATACATGAATATTCAATACTGAATTGATTTTCCCCAACTATTTATGCATCTAACCATTCTGTATACCGGTATATAGTTTTTGATAAACTCCCTTATTCATGTACTGTCAACTGTAATAGTCTGTGTTTTTACTGTTTTCCAAATTTTCACAATTTTCAAATACTATTGCACTCAAATTTCTCAATTTTGAAAGGCATTCCCTACTGCAAAAATTGTAAAAAATAATCATTGAGTAAGTTATATAACTGCATAGTGTTAAATACCATGTCACGTCTTAAGTTCATTGAAGGCATTGATAGCTAACAGGGTATATGTTTCAATATTGATATATAGTCCAGTATTGAATAGCATTTTTGGATTATCTTTGTAATTAATTACTCTACAACTGAATGGAAATACTACATTTATTTTACACGGTTCTGTTATACAGTTTAAAACAATTTGTTTAGTTACGCTGGTGGAAAATTGAATTAATTGAGGATACAGTGGTTTTTCTCACTTAATTGGAAAAGAGACAACTTTCTCACTTAATTGGTAAGAGACCTTAGCTTCTGGATATTGGGAAAAATTATTGTTATAGTGAACTTCTTTTTTAACTTAAGTGAAGTAAAAAAAGCTGGCATAAGTTAAGATTTTTGGAAAAACTGCATGATTTAAAAGAAAATTTCAATTAGGAAGAGCCTTTTATAGAATTCTGTTATATAAGGTGACAAATCACTGGAATAAATTTGTTAAGGAAGAATTTATCAAGAGTTTTTTGTTTTGTACAGTTGAAGTTGTAAGAATGAATGGAAAAACTGAGCACATGAATGGCGGCATGGAATCTCCAGATAAAGAAGTGAACGGAGAGAAAGAAGAACAAACAGATAAGGATGGAGAGAAGGAAAGTGACGAGAACAAAGATCAAGAGGTGCTCTTGATACAGGACACTGGTTTTAATGTGACAATTACATGCCCTGGTGTGGAGGAGTTTGAGCTGCCAGTAAGTATACTATATTTATTGTATTAAAAAAATTAACAGTTACACAGCTAAATTTAAATAATATAATGTTATGCTTTTAATTTGGACAGGTTTATTGTTTTATGAGGTTTCAGTATATATAATAAAATCAAGGTAGTCTTACTGTAATCAGCCAGAAAAATTCTAACATTGGCCAATATAGTAATAAATCAGCCATTTCCTGAATATTTCTTTTCACGATCTCAGATATTCAATAATTTTTAACCGTTTATAGACAGAATTTAGTACATGGTGATAAAGGATGAGTGATTTAAAATAATCTATCGTCTAATGCCAAGATTTTGAAAATATAACATGCCGGAAATAACCGATTTACTACGATATTTGCCGATGCTAGAATATTTTTGGTTGGAAAGCATAACAGTAAGACTACCTTAAGTAGCCAAAACAAAAGAACTTGGTTAGAGTGCAGGTTGAAACAACTTGTAAAATAAAAATAAAAGTAAACCCCATAAAGTTGTTGTTATTATTTGATTATAATATTTTACTAATTTTTACAAGTAATTGTCTATGTATAATTTCTTTAACCCTAAGCCTACTGTCTGTTACAGAATCTACCCATGCAAACAGTGCAGACCAAGATTTGCCAGCACCTCTGTGTTGACTGATCATGTTCAGCAGTGCTTGCTTTTCAGTCATTACATATTTTGAAGTTTTCTCCAATAAAAAGATAATCATGCATCGAAAAATATTTACTGAGTCAATCATCCTGCAGGACAAGTAGCTTGCAAGCCACATATTTCTAATAGCCTTGTATCAAATTCTCTTAAATTCTACTTGTAATTACGAGCAGACAAGTGGAATTTTTTTTCTCTGATAATTTGATTAATATTGTAGGTGAGTTCGATGGAGTTGGTACAAGAGATTCACCAGGTACTGATGGACCGTGAAGATACATGTCACAGGACATGTTTCTCTCTACAGTTAGACGGACAGACGTTAGATAACTTTGCTGAATTAAAAAGCATTGAAGGATTGAAAGAGGGTTCAGTTATCAAAGTTGTTGAAGGTATGTACAGTGTTCATGTATCGAGTAATTTGAATTTCATTGAAGTCTTCTTTTTTCGACACTGTACATGTCATTTCGACACTGTAAAGGTCACTTTGATTTTCTAGTTTTGTTGATGAAAGGTCTTGCATGCCCCTCCATCTGTCAATTGTCATTTATAAATGGCTTAAAAGTTATTGAGAATTAATTTATAGGAAATAGTTGTTACTTATGATTTGGGAAAAGTGTATTGCAAAGGAAATGAGAGCCTACTTTCTTACAAAGGTATTCATTTTGGGAAAAAATAATAAGCTTTGTTGAAATTTTCTGACATAACCACTGCTTCAAAACTTTTTGTCTTAACCACTGCTACAATTTACTGCCAGTACAAGATAACAAATTTAGTAAAACTTACTTATTTACTACTTACCTTTACAAATTTTGCTACAAAATAGAGAAAAAGGGGGAATCCCAAGAGAATGTCCAAAACCACAAAATTGAAAATGTTGTAGGCTTGATTTGATTGAGCCTGTTCATGAACGGTACTGGAAATCTTTTTAAGAACATATATATTGTATACAGGAATAATTGTTGTTCATTGCAGAACCATACACAATACGTGAGGCACGTATACATTTAAGACATATCCGAGACTTGTTGAAGTCTGTTGACCCAGGAGATGCCTACGCTGGTGTGGATTGTAACTCGGTGTCCTTCCTCAATATAATCACTGCTGGAGATATCCTTGGTAAGAATTTTATGGCCGACGGAATAGGGCGTCTTGAGGGGAGGATATAGATGTGCTTGTGCCCTTTCGTAGATTTACAAAATATTGGAATGTTGGGGAATTCTTGTGTCCTATGGACACATTTCTAGTTTTCCTGTTAAGGTCAAAATATTTCATAAGATACCTGTTGGAAAAAGCTGGCATTTAATAGCATTATTATGCCCCCATTTCGAAGAAAAGGGGGTATATTGCTTTGCACTTGTCGGTCTGTCGGTCTGTCGGTCCGTAGACCAAATGGTTTCCGAGTGATAATTAAAGAACCCTTAGGCCTAGGAACTTCAAACTTGGTATGGTGATTGGTCATGACCAGTAGATGACCCCTATTGATTTTGGGGTCAAGGGGTCAAAGGTCAAGGTCACATTGACCTTGAAAGCAAAAACGGTTTCCGATCAATAACTAAAGAACCTTAAGGCCTAGGAACTTCAAACTTGGTATGGTGATTGGTCATGACCAGTAGATGACCCCTATTGATTTTGGGGTCAAGGGGTCAAAGGTCAAGGCCACATTGACCTTGAAAGCAAAAACAGTTTCCGATCAATAACTAAAGAACCTTAAGGCCTAGGAACTTCAAACTTGGTATGGTGATTGGTCATGATCAGTAGATGACCCCTATTGATTTTGGGGTCAAGGGGTCAAAGGTCAAGGTCACATTGACCTTGAAAGCAAAAACGGTTTCCGATCAATAACTAAAGAACCTTAAGGGCTAGGAACTTCAAACTTGGTATGGTGATTGGTCATGACCAGTAGATGACCCCTATTGATTTTGGGGTCAAGGGGTCAAAGTTCAAGGTCACATTGACCTTGAAAGCAAAAACAGTTTCCGATCAATAACTAAAGAACCTTAAGGCGTAGGAACTTCAAACTTGGTATGGTGATTGGTCATGATCAGTAGATGACCCCTATTGATTTTGGGGCAAGGGGTCAAAGGTCAAGGTCACATTGACCTTGTAGGTAAAAACGGTTTCCAATCAATAACTAAAGAACCTTAAGGCCTAGGAACTTCAAACTTGGTATGGTGATTGGTTATGACCAATCAGATGCCCTATTGATTTTTGGGTTAAGGGGTCAAAGGTCAAGGTCACATTGACCTTGTAGGTAAAAACGGTTTCCGATCAATAATGAAAGAACCCTTAGGCCTAGGGACTTCAAACTTGAGATGGGTGATTGGTCATGATCAGTAGATGACCCCTATTGATTTTGGGGTCAAGGGGTCAAAGGTCAAGGTCACATTGACCTCTTAGGTAAAAACGGTTTCCGATCAATAACTGAAGAACCCTTAGGCCTAGGAACTTCAAACTTGGTATGGTGATTGGTCATGACCAGCAGATGACCCCTATTGATTTTGGGGTTAAGGGGTCAAAGGGCAAGGTCACATTGACCTTGTAGGTAAAAATGCTTTCCGATCAATAACTTAAGAACCCTTAGGCCTAGGAACTTCAAACTTGGTATGGTGATTGGTCATGACCAGCAGATGACCTATTTGGTCAAGGGGTCAAAGGTCAAGGTCACATTGACTTTGTAGGTAAGAACGGTTTCCAATCAATTTACTAAAAACGCTTAGGCCTAGGAACTTCAAACTTTGTATGATGATTCGTCGTGACCAGCAGATGACCCCTATTGAGTTTTGGGTCAAGGGGTCAAAGGTCAAGGTCACATTGACCTTGTAAGTAAAAACGGTTTCTGATCAATAACTCAAGAACACTTAGGCCTAGGAACTTCAAACTTGGTATGGTGATTTGTCATGACCAGCAGATTACTCCTATTGATTTTGGGATTAAGCCCAAAGGTCAAGGTCACAATGACCTTGTAAGTAAAAACGGTTTCTGATCAATAACTAAAGAACGCTTCGGCCTAGGAACTTCAAACTTGGCATGGTGATTGGTCATGACCAGCAGATGACCCCTATTGATTTTGGGGTCAAAGGTCAAGGTCACATTGACCTTGTATGTTAAAACGGTTTCCGATCAATAATAAGAGAACCCTTAGGCCTAGGAACTTCAACCTAGGCATGGTGATTGGTCATGACCAGCAGATGACCCCTATTGATTTTGGGGTCAATGGGTCAAAGGTCAAGGTCACATTGACCTTGTAGGTAAAAACGGTTTCTGATCAATTTACTAAAAACACCTAGGCCTAGGAACTTCAAACTTTGTATGATGATTGGTCGTGACCAGCAGATGACCCCTATTGAGTTTTGGGTCAAGGGGTCAAAGTCATGACCAGTAGATACTTTATAACCCTTATTAATTGTTTGATCACTGGGTCAGAAGTCATGCATAATAACCTTATCACATGACTAATTGCTACAAACATATCTTGTTTTAGATACACTTGAATTATACTTGTGTTATTGAAGCAGTATACAAAACTTACTCAAATTCTATTACCTGAACTGTTTTTATGCAGTTATATTTAACTATTGAATTTAGGTTTGTTATTATTATCTGTTTTAAAAAAGAGCGCAAGTTGTGATTGTTTATGTAATTGATAAGATAAACAATTCAGTAAGGTGTTCAGGGTCATGAAATTGATATGATTTATGAATTATTATATACTTGCAGAAAAGAAGCACAAAGACTCCCTGGATTGCACACCCCCTGACTATATCATGCCAGGTAGTAAAGAAAGACCATTACTACCTCTACACCCAAATATCAAAGAACTAAAGGTAATTTGAGAACAGAATTCAGGACAGAACAGAATTCTTATATTATTGTTTTCACCATAGCTCAGAAGTAATTTGGAAAGGACTATAATTCTAGTAGCAATGTGTTTTATAATGATTCATATGTTGAACATCCAGTAACAATGTGTTGTATCGTTTTCCATGATTTGAACATCATATTTGAAGACATTTTCCAGTACAGACCAGACTTCCCGAAATATGTCGGTCCGACGGACATGTCCGATAAATTTTGATCAGGTCCGACAAATTTTTATTCCGGATCGGTCCGACTGTCCGGCTTTTATCCAAGCCGCATGTATACAAAATGGCGTCGCTAAAGGTGCAAAACCTGGGGAAAACGAAAATCTACGCCAGAAGAGTGCCCAGAACAGCAATAAAAGGATGAAAAGAATAGACCTGAGACAAAATTTAAAGAAAAATGGAAGCAGAACCATGAATCATTGGTGTATGACAGGGAGGAGATGAAAATGCGCTGTACGGATTGTGCCGATTTTTACGGCGAAAAAATAAAAAACAGTGTCTAAATAGAAATACAAACACAAGTTTTTCTTTGATTTTGATCAATTTTATTTGGTCCGACAGATTTTGTTTCGGTCCGGCAGATTTTCATGGTTTGTCAGACCGAATGTCTGACAGTTTTTTTCAACTTTCGGGAAGTCTGACAGACCCATCATGGAATGTTTAGAATTATTATGTGCTTTCTTAAGATAGCATTACTGTATTAATATTACTGTAAACAGTGTTATTGCTGTTTCATAAGGTAATATTGTAAAAATCTGATCCAACTTTATACTTTATTATATGTTGTATTTCAGACTCCACCATGTTTGAAAGTTTTGACACTAAGTGGATGGAATCCCCCACCTGGAAACAGGAAACTGCATGGTATGAAGACCTTTATCAATTATTTCATGCATTTCTGCCACATAGCAGTAAGGGTTATGTTAAAATTTCCCAAATTTTTATAATGGAACTATCCTGCTTTGAATTTGGAACTATCCATTGTTAGCTCACCTGTCACAAAGTGACAGGGTGAGCTTTTGTGATCGCTTTTCGTCCGGCGTCCGTCCGTAAACTTTTGCTTTAAATGACATCTCCTCATAAACCACTGAGCCAATTTCATCCAAACTTCACAGGAATGTTCCTTTGGTGGTCACCTTTAAAAATTGTTAAAAGAATTGAATTCCATGCAGAACTCTGGTTGCCATGGCAACGGAAAGAAAAATCTTTAAATATCTTCTTTTAAACAGCTAGAGCTTAGATATTTGGTATGAAACATCTTCTAGTGAGTGTCTACCAAGTTTGTTCAAATAAAAGCCCTGGGGTCATTGATTTTCCCTATATGCATATAGTAAAAACTTAAAAAATCTTCTTTTAAAGAACCGTAAGGCCAAAAAAAAAAAATTGTTTGTTTAGGGTAACCTTCCCAAAATTGCTAGGTAGGGTAGGTAGGGATTTTTTTTTATTTTTTTTATTTTTTTTTTCAAAATCTGTCGTAAGTTCAGAGTGTTTTCTTGCACATGGCAGTCTTTCCTACACTACTGACATTGCCTGACTTTGTATTATCATATTTTATCATATAAACAATAATTCTGATTAAAATCTGCATAGCTTTAATGCGATCTAATGTTATTTCAATATTGAATAAAGACAATATACCCAAATGTGTTAATTTTGATGTTTGTTTGCTACAGGCACAGTGCCACTACTTTAAGTTTGACTCTAATCTGAACAGCAAACAGTGCAGATTCTCATCAGCTTGCATGGTTTCAATTCTGCTGATCTGAGTCTACAATGGTTGCATGGTAGGAGTTAAGCACAATAAAAGAGCTAAAATGACATGCTGTGATCTGGCTTTCAAAGTTTTAGTTAAAAAATCTAGACTCTAGACTTGTTTTCACTATTTGATATTCGTGCATTAAATACTGCACATTTCATTGAATTAACAATTGTAGAGCTGACATCTTGAAGCTCTTACAGTATAACAAAGTTTATATTTTGACACTATGGTACAATTTAACAAAATCTATAATTTTGAATTGCACTTTTGATACACTGGTTCACATAAAAAGTGCAAACACTTCTATTTGTAAAATGACACCCTTGTCAATCAAATACTGTTTATTTTCTATCAGATACATGTATGTCAACATATCAAAGACAATAGCCAAGCTTTTTGTTGAATTGGCATTTTGTAGATGTCATTCAAAGTGTCGTCTAATAGTATCCATGGCCCATCTGAAAAAAATCAAAGACTAGATCTCAATAACACATGGAAAATGGGACGGTATGAAACAAAATGATGCACAATACAGAGTCAGACTCCAAGTCTGGCTAAAAATTTGTTTCAGTATGCAAAAGAGGATGAAAAATATACTGGAAAAGCTTTGCAGGTCTCCAGAATATCTATGTACATATGACCTGTGGCTATACTTTATACTCGAGTGCACTTGATTTTCAGTGAGACTAGGGTCTCATTTGCCTCTAACTACTGTCTGAACTTGAACTGGTTTAATAAATTGTAACACTTTCAATTTTCCAATCAAGCTGAAATGTGTAAATTCAGTGTTTTTTTCACCCTTTTCACCCTTTTCATTTTAATGTTACTGTTTTAATATTCATTTTGAAGTGTGGCACAGGACATATCAAAACAGCTTTTCAAATTTTTGAATATTAAAAGCAATAAAAAATAGTGGCATTGATTTTACCTAAAATGTGTTAAACCTTGTTATTTATGCAATAAAATATCAATATAGATCTACTAAAAAAAAAAATTTTCACCGACATCATCCGAGTACGAAAATTATGGGTATGTTCGTTCTCGGTGTCAAAATTTTCCACTGGCAGGTAGTATCGTCGGGTTTTCGCATGAAATCAATGCAATATATATTTTTCTTTCAAAACTGTCTATGAACAGATCCTTATTTTCACGTTAATTAAAACAGTAAAGCCAGAAAGTCAAATATCACCCAGGTCCGAAAGAGTAGACCGTCATGACATGTACATTGTAGCCTGGTATTTACGCATGAAATACTACATCAACAAAGAGATCAAACGGGTCGAACACACATGCAAACAACTGGATTTTACATACTTTCAAATGGTTTTATCCTCCACGAGAGACACTAAGTCCTATGTGCCTGTATTCTAAGATAAATTCTACATGTAGAAATTCCTAAATCGGAAGTGTTCTCTCGCAACACGTGCGTGGTTCCCCGTTCCGCTCTATGTCAATGTATGTAAAACGGAACCGGAGAATACTTCCGGTAAGAATTCCCTTCTAAAAATATCGTCTACATGTAGAATTTTTATTTCCGATAGCGTGATTTTCATTGGACCACAATACAGCACGAGCCAATCAAAACACGTATATAAACTAAAAATGACCGATCTAAATCGTCTGAGAGTTTTACGAGAGCGTCTCAAGCTTTCAATTCCCATTTATCCTCCCTTTGGCTAACGAATTTTTTTTTGTCCAGAAACGGAAAAAAATAGTTAGGGTAGGCGCATTTTTAGCTCGACTATACGAAGTATATGGAGAGCTGTCCTACTCGCCCCGGCGTCGGCGTCCGCGTCCGCGTCCAGATTTTAGATTAAAGTTTTGGTGCAGTAAAATATTTTTCACTATAACTTTGTCATTTCTTAAGGTATCAACTTCAAACTTCAAATATATGTTCCTTATCATCAACCACATCTTATGTGACAAGGTTCATAACTCAGCACCAATATTTTCGATTTATCTCCCCTTGAACTTAGAATTTTCCTTAAAAAATACTATTTTTTTTACTGTTACTTCTTTATTTCTTAAGGGATCAACCTCATACTTCAAATATATGTACCTTATCATCATCCCCATCTTATGTGACAAGGTTCATAACTCTAGCACCAATATTTTCAGATTTATCTCCCCTTGAACTTAGAATTTTTCTCAAAAAATACTATTTCTCACTGTTTCTTCTTTATTTCTTAAGGGATCAACCTCATACTTCAAATATATTTACGTTATCATCATCCCTATCTTATGTGACAAGGTTCATAACTCTAGCACCAATATTTTCAGATTTATCTCCCTTTGAACTTAGAATTTTCCATAGAAAATATTATTTTTTACTGTTACTTATTTATTTCTAAAGGGATCAACTTCATACTTAAAATATATTAACGTTATCATCATCCACATCTTATGTGACAAGGTTCATAACTCTAGCACCAATATTGCAAGAATTATCTCCCCATAAACTTAGATTTTTTTACTAGAAAAATGTTATTTTTTATTATAACTTTTTTATTTTTTAAGGTATCTACCTCAAACTTCAAATACTTATTCCTTATCATCAATTACATTTTACGTGATAATGTTCATAACTTTTGAAGCAATATTTACAGATTTATCTCTGTTTGAACTTAGGATTTTCTTTAAGAAATATAATAACTTCTTTACTTTTTAAGGTATCTACTTCAAACATCAAATATATATTTCTTATCATTACACAAATGTTGTGTGACAAGGTCCATAACTCTAGCATGAATATTTCTAGAATTATTCCCCTTGATCTTGGAATTTATGTTAACAAATGTTATTTTTTTACTATAACTTAATACATAATTATACATGATTGATTTTTCTTTCATAGTTTTGTCCTCCTTACTGCGTCCAGTATTTTATTAGTCGAGCTTCGCTGTCTCCTGTGACAGCTCTTGTTATAGGTAGGGTCGGGTTACCCGAAACAGACATAATTTTTTTTTAGGCCTAAGAGCTAGAGCTTAGATATTTGGCATGAAACATCTTCTAGTGAATGTCTACCAAGTTTGTTCAAATAAAAGCCCTGGGGTCATTGATTTTCCTTATATGTGTATAGCAAAAACTTAAAAATCTTCTTTGAAAAAACTCAAATAGCTAGAGTTTAGATATTATGCATGAAACATCTTTAAGTAAATATCTTAAAGATTGTTCAAATAAAAGCCTGGGGTCAAAACTGGCCCTGCCCCAGGGGTGTCATTGTTTTTAACTATATGTGTATAGTAAAAACTCAAAAAATCTTCTTTTAAAAAGCCCAATGAGCTAGAACTTAGATGTTTAGCATGAAACATCTTCTTATGGGTGTCTACCAAGTCTGTTCAAATAAAAGCCCTTGGGTAAAAATTGGCCGGGGGTGTGGGGGGAGCTATATACAGGTGAGCGACCTCAGGGCCATCATGGCCCTCTTGTTAGTTATAGGGATGTCGTCATCAAAAAACTAAAGGTGGTATCGACAAGATATTATGGCCTGTAGCAGCCAAAGGGAATCTTGATACATTGTCTATACTTGTAGAGAATTTTATTATAAAGAAAAATTTTGGCTGAAAAGTTGCCATATGACCTTAAAAGTGTAGGTGTGGCATAAAATCACACAACCCTTCTATCAAATTATTGCTTGAATTCTACTTTTTGTAAATACTGCACATTGAAAGTTATCCGGTGTGCTGTTTATTTGGTTTGTTAATGTACTGTTGAATATTATATGCAGTTTATGATGCTAGTATCAATATGATATTTAGTGCGCTGTTTGATAACCTTTTGTTTTTGTACGCAATTTATTTATTTCAAATTTTAGTTGGAATGCACGTCATATTTAATAAGTTGGTTAAACTATGAGCAACTTTTTCATATGAGTATTGGGAAATAAAGTTTCTTTGTATAAAAAAAGATAAGAATGAGCTAGTGTTCCATGTCAGTGTGTAATTGTTTTGTGACATTAAGATGTGTATTTATATTACAGGAGATTTGATATATCTGTATGCAGTAACCTTAGAGGAGAAGAAATATCATATCACAGCATCAACCCGTGGATTCTATGTTAACCAGTATGTAATATTTCTGATTATATAATACTACATTTGTTCGGGAGTATAAGTTTTTTTTGTGTCATTAAACAATTTTAATTATTTCGTATAATGGTATTTTCATATAATTATTTTATTATGATTAAGATTTTCATATTTAATTGAACCTTGACTTATTTCATATAATTGTTTTATTATGATTAAGATTTTCATATTTATATGAACCTTGATTTATTACATGTTTTCACCAACTTACTAAGGACAGTTGATGTATCCTATTTTAGGTGCACAGAAGACGTATTCAATCCGAAAGCTGCGGCACAGAAATTCTTGTCACATACATTGATAGAACTACTGAATCAAGTAAGTTAACATTATTATAGTTATATACCTTTTTTCATAGAACCAGTCCCCAGATTTCTATTATTTGTCATGCAGTTGTACAAATGAGACAGTTAAAAGTAAAAATAATGGTGTGTGGGTCGGAAGAGAAGTAGACAGAAAAAGTAAAAACTGTTTAAACAACTTTTCTTCTTTGATAAAAGATTTTATTTGTATATTCTTGAGTATCATCAAAAAGTATGAAAAATTCATTTTCGTTCATGTTGTAAAACCAGCCACGGATATTTATTTAAACATTTTTACTATTGATACGTTTTTCATTTTCAGTTGAGTCCTGCGTTCAAACGTAATTTCTCCATGTTACTTAAGAAACGTGGTCAAAAGCACCCGTTTGAGCGCGTACCCACACCCTATCAGGTTTACACATGGATGGCACCACTACAGGAACATACTGTTGACTACATTAGGGCAGAAGATGGTAGGTTAAATAACTTGTATATATTTTCTTTGAAACATGTTTGAACAAACGGGCAATGTTACTGCTGAGGCTTTTTATATTCTTTGAAATTTCGCAGTGGAGAAGATAGTTGACGATCTTATCTGTTCCATTACATGTACAAGCCATTTCTGATGACATCTTTATTATGGGCCAATATTCTGTGTGTTCCTTCCTTAGCCCTTTATTTTGTAGAGAGGTTTTAGGTTGATCTGATCAAGGTTAAGGTCATTCAGGCTAAAAATAGATTTTCCTAATTATGATTATGTTGAAGGTTAATGTCTTAAACCATCAAGGTCAATGTCATTCTTGAAGGTCATATTGATGATAAAAATTAGCTGATCAGTAGTACATAGATTAAGATTTAAAAGAAAAAAAAAGGAATTGTTAGGAATTATTACAATAAAAATTATACAATCAGAATTTCTAAAAATAACTAGAATGAAATTCTTAAAAATAATATTTGTTGTGCAACAGTACTTGACGTGTAAAGAAAATTTTTAATAATGTGTCATTGTAGCTTTTTCTACCCGACTCGGGTATGAGGAACATATTCCTGGTCAAACAAGAGATTGGAATGAAGAGGATACAAAAAACGAGAGACTCTCTCGTACAAAAAGCCTGCCAGGAAAGGCTTATCAGGACAAAGCAGCACTATTTTTTTAAGGGTTTAGTTGTGGGAATATACATGTACTTTGAAACTATTTATTTTGCTTTAGAGAATTTTTTCTATGTCTGTCAAATTTACAGATTTGTATTTATAAATTTAAATGGGGTAGAGGTCTATGCCTTTGGGGTAGAGCGTCCCATTGCTTGAGGGTCTTAGAGGCTTGATAAACTTTTTAAGGGTAACTGATTTTAAGACTCTAAAGCAGTAATTTTGAAAGCTGTTTTACCAAAAAAAAGGCATCCTTAGAGCTAAATTTTGGCAGTCATTCCCTAAAATCCGTCAAAACAGGGGTGAAGTCATTTTGCCTGCAAAAAATTTAAATATCTTTAAACTTTTTTACCTCAAAAACCAATGGCCGGGTTTTTGAATTAGGTCTTAACAATTTGAAAATTAATGTTTGGGAATGGAAAAAAAATCAGAAGTTGTTGGGAATTTTGGTCATATTTTTGCAGGGCACATGACTTGTTACAAATTCAATTCAACCAAAAGAAATTTTGCAATTCATTAATTAATTGCCCTTAATTAAGTATATTACCATGATCCGAATTATTTTAGGGTACACAGTGATTTTTGTTGCCAGCAGCTACAAGAGGTGCTCCAGTCTGTAATTGATGGTTAAATGTTTGATGGCAATTCACAATCCTGGAGATGAGAGCCAAGTATGTTAACTTTTTCAGAAACCTATCTTCCCCCCTGATTTTGCTTAATGGACTGGTCCTGTTTTTAATTATGGAAAACCTGTTCATTATTGAAATAGGTGTTGTTTGGAGTCAGAATTTTTTAAGTATTCAAGATACTTTTGTTTGTTTTGGTTTTTTTGGACTGCATTGAATTTTCCCCTTTTTTGGGAAACTTAGACAGGTTTGTATTTCCCCAAAAAGGGGATATTTCTTTTTTGGGAAAAAAACCTTTTTTAACTTTTTTAGACCCTGGGGTAAAGCTAGTGGAAATTTAAAAACTTTTTTCAAAAATTTTTAACCCCTTTTACTTTATGTATTTCTCAATGGGCTTTGTTGTAATTTTTTTACTACAGGGAAAACCCGATGGGTTTATAAAGAAAAAATCTTCTTCAGCTTTGGTTTGATGTCAGGGAACCTTAAAAGAATTTTCGGAGATTTTGCTGCTTATGCTGCACCAGTAAGTTTCTAAATTGGTGGGAAATTAAAATTTTAATTGCTTTTAATATTGAAGGAATTTGAAAATTTGTTTGCTTTCAAACATGTAAGAAGTTTTGAATGTTTGTGATAGGTAAAATTTATATCTGAAATCGAAAAAAAGTTACGAATATGGTTTGTTTAAAAAAAAAAAATGGAAAATTTGTGAGTTTGTTTACTTTCAAAAATAGTGGAAGTTAAAAAAAAAAATTTTTTTTTTCCCAATCATGAACGCAAGTTTTTAAATATAAGAACCCCTTCACAGGGAATTTATATTAAAAACTTGTAAGGGGAAAAGACCTTTCAAAAGGGGGGAGAGCATATTTTAACAAATATTTAAAAGGGGAAAGTATAAAAACAAGGGGAAAAGGGTTCCCCTAATTTACCCAGGGCCCAAAAAGGAATAACAAACACAAAAACCTTCAAAACCAGGTAAACATTTAAATTAAATTGCTTTTTTTTTTGCTGTTTTTTAATGTTTTGCAATCGATAAGACGAAATATTTTTTCCCAAAATTTTATTGTGGGTTGTAAAAGCAAAAATTTTGTAACAATATTTATGCATTTATGGTAGGGCCCCTTTCAAACCTCGGGAAAACCCTTTTCACCAATGTTTGGGTTTTGAATAGGAAACTTTGGATTCTTTTAATGTTGGGAATTAAGGCTTATAAAAGGGGTTTGGTGGTTCTACTTCGGTTCAGATTTAGGGCATTGGGTGCATTACAATTTGTGTAGATAAATCAAACCAAGCATGTTATTTAAAATATTTTATAAAGTCATTTAAAACAAAGTGGTGTATTTTAATTATATTGTTCATGTATGTAAATTTGCATTAATTAAGAAAATACAGGGTGCGTTGTTAAAAAATGTTAAATTACATGTAATTGGGGCTTTTTGATTTTGTACAGCATGTGTTAATTGAAAGTAAAATTTGTAATCAAAAGTAAATTTGTACAGATAAATACATATATATATACTTGTATAATTGTCAATTTAAAATGATAGAATGTGAATTTGATTATAGTAATTTGGACATAAATATATTAAATTTTATACAGGTATATTAGAGCGGGAGCAGGAGCAATCAGTGGTTTACGGTTCAATAGATTTTGGAAAAACTGTTGTCACAAATGATAAATACAAAGAATTGGTAAGATAAATGTTTCAGTGTTTAACTATTATTTTCATAATGCTTTCCAGTAATAATTTTATATACTTCTGCAGTGATGATTTTGTAGGGGCAATATTGTTTTTTCTGCAGCCAGGTTGTCTTTGTCTGCAAATGGATGACTTACCTTAGCTATAAAAATTTTTATTCAGCCATAAGCTTATGTTGACAAATTGAAATATGATCTTGACCTTGAAACGGGCTTGAACTTTGTTTTATGAAAGAAATCGTTATGGGAATTATACCATATGAAGTCTTCATACAGCATGTCTTAATTCTATTCTTCTGATACAGTATATAGAGGATATTGAATGAGTGTAAGTTCAAATCTGAATGAGTGTAAGTTCAAAACTGAATTTATTGAACAAGTTTAATAGAATTATATTATGCGAGCAAAATATTACTTTATTCTACTTGTTCAATGAATTCAGTAGTGAAACTACATACATATCCAAAATAAAGACTGTTAAAAGTGCAGATGAATAATTTTTTCATTGACATGCTTTGTAGAGTACTGTAAGAATGAGCGTCTCTTTACACTATGTTTGTATAACGCAAATGATGTCGCGTCAAAATATATGCAAGATCGTACAATACAATTTTTACAAAGTCACAAAATTGGCACTGGTATGTGATAAATATTTGAAAGTAGATCTAGATGCCTATGTTTTATTCTTGAATAGTAATGATATAAATTGTATAGTAATGATTTGACTTGCATTTCAGTTACAAAAATCTGCTAGTCAACTAAAAATAAGACCTCACAAGTAAGTCTTACCTCACTTCTACTTGCGATTTACATTCTTTTAAAATGTAAACTTTTAGCTGTTTCGTGAAAATAAAGAAGAAAAGTAATGAATAGTGATTTATTAAAATAATATATTCAACTAAATTTTAATGTCAGTACATTATATCAGCCAAGTCGTTATGGATCACACATTTATAAAAAAAAAAAAAAAAAAAGAAATGGATTTTCTTTGTTAGGCATATTTATGCATGTAATTAAGTAGTAAGCTTAGCAATACAAGTACATATATTAAATAAAGTTATCTATCACTTTTTAAATCAACAAAAGTCTTTCCAGATCATACTTTATCTTTTAAAAAATATGTACAGGTATATAAATAGTTGTTTTGTTAATATAGGGTATTGAATGAGAAGGAGGAGGAAGTGGAGTTGTATTCATCTATAGAGTGTAAGGGAATTGTGGGTAACGATCAGAGACATTACGTTCTAGATCTGCTGAGGACGTTCCCTCCAGATGTTAACTTTTCTGAAGGTAGGTGAAATAAATGAGCCATGTCACGACAAAACCAACTGTGCGTTTGTGACCAGCATGGATCCAGACCAGCCAGTGCATCCGCGCAGTCTGATCAGGATCCATGCTGTTTGCTTACAAACCTTATTACAAGTAGAGAAACTGATAGCAAACAGCATGGATCCTGATCAGACTGCGCGGATGGGCAGGCTTGTCTGGATCCATGCTGGTCGCAAACCCATTATGTTGGTTTTGTCATGACGCGGCTCAAATATACTTGATTGAGCATGCAGCCACTGTTTGAACAACTGGATTGGATGCATCTCATAGCTTCAGTAGGTGAGGTGGTTTTGACCCCAGGTGTTGCCTTAAGTTTGTAACACCTGGGGTTAGCCAAAATCATCTTTCATGTTTTGGCGCCTTATGACATAAACTGTGTTGGTGGGCTGTTAAAACCAAACCAGCAAACAAAGAGAAGTTCAGGTTTTGTGTGCAACTTAAAATCTTATATATTAACAAGAATGTTTTCTTGAAACTTTAACACATATCTTTGTAGCCTTGATGATACATGACTTACCAGGGCCCATAACAAGAGCAACTAAGTGGCGGCATGGCCAATTGGTTAACACATCAGACTAGTAATCTAATGATAGCTAGCCGCATGGGTTCAAGCCCTGTCCCTGAGTCGTTGTTTCCTTGAGCAAGAAACTTTACACTTGTTGCTCAGTACTGGTTGGTTCCAGGAACAGATTCAAAAGTGTGTCTATAAGCTTATAGCTTCCTACACAATCAAACTAAAATAAATTATGTATATACCAACAAAAGCAACTCAAACGTTAATGGTTTGGATTGTAGGTGACTGACCAAGATCTGCAAATATACATCAATAAATAATTTTACTGAATTTTCTTTGTATGTTTTTGATTACAGTTTCACCAGATGAGTTATCTAATGATATGAGAAATCATGGTTATCCCCTTAAACACAGGCACAAGTTATGTTGTCTTAGACAGGAACTTGTTGACGCGTTTGTAGAGTAAGTAGTTTTTATCGATATTTGTATATATATCTGGTGGCTGATTGGTTAACCTTTGACCTGATTGAATTGACAGTGAGAAGCCTTTGCTGCCTATAAGGAAACAGGCTAGCCTTACGCTCTCATGCAGTCTGACTAGGCCCTATACAGTTGGTAGCTCAATTTGATATCAAATTCCTTTAAATTTTCAATGTTTCGACTGTTAAAATTTCAAAAGCAGGGCAAATTCATTTCACAATTTCAGCAGGATATGAGCTAAGGTTGCTGTTTTCCAACCACATGCCTATAACTGCTGTGAAAAAATATTCTCTCTATAAATAACAACATGATATATATTGGGTATGATAGATTGTCTTTTTAGATTTTCTTTTCAGAATTGAAATGTTTGATCACTCTTTGTATTTCAGAAATCGATATGTAGCATTTGTACGCACTGCGGCCTACCACTTTCAGCAGATGCAAATACACAAAAAAGCCTCTCAGGACCTTGAAAAAGAATCAAAACTTAAGGTAATATAAACATTATGATGTCTACTTTCTTAATTTACCAATATTCTTGAAGGTCTACATGGACATGTTACTTTTAACATTACCATGTTATATCTCTGAAATTGTCAACAAGTCATTTTAAAGCAACACACCCATATGCATGCTATATTCTTGAAAAATATTTTAGAAATTCATTGAAAAGTCAAAATATTGTGATGTAACCAAAAGGACCCCAGAAGATTAATAAGACTATCACACTTGCTTGTTTTTAGGCTGCTGTCCCCACACCCCCGCTTTTGTACATGCTTATTTATGCTTATGTAAATCTACAACAAAATTCAGAATAACGCATTAGAAAACAGAATAAGAGCAAAATAACAAAAATCGTTAACACACAGGTGTCAGCTAAACTAGATTTTATTTTCGGGTTTTTGCAGGCAATCTCAGCAGCAACAAAGACAGTTGTTCCAGGTGAGAAGGAGAAATCTGATGATAAGGACATGGCTGAGGCCGAGACGGAGGAAGCTAAAAAAATTGTTGAGGCCCTTACTGACAAAGAAAATCAAACAGGTAATTAATTGAATTGATAAATTTGAGAAGCTCCATAAGCCTAAAAAGATAAAGTTTGAAAATCTTAAATCAATCAATTGGGGCACCTTAAGGTGGATTAGTCTACAATGTCGTAGGATTCTAGATGTGTAAAAAGATATCCAGCTAGCTTAGAGAAGGTCGGTGGTTCTACTCGGGTGCCTGTTTATGCCTGAAATAATGTACAGAGGGGCATCAGAGGTCTCCCTCCACCAGTAAAAGATGGAAAGTCGCCAAGTGACCTATACTGTGTTGGTGCGACATAAAACCCAACCAAACAAAGATATCTTGTGTGTAACATACAGATGTTTGATTATTTCATGTATATAAATGACATTATATTTTACAGTTGAGGAAAGCAGTAAGGATATAGTCAAGAAGGCAGCTAAAGCTGTAGGATCTCTTAGTGAAACTGAGTTCAATCTGACCTTTAACCCCGATGTCTTTCAAGAAACATGTCAAACATGCTGATCCTGAGGGTACGTTCTCTTACAGTTCAAATGTCACTGTTTTTTAAATCTAGTATGATTTTTTTGAAAAATTTGGTTTTTCTTTTAGTTTACCATGGTGTGTAATATGGTAATTGCTGTAAAATATTCTTCGTAATTTTAAATATAAATAAGTGAAGGTATGATTTTACCATAGTTTTTAGTTAGATAATTGTTAAATTGTTATATTTTGCAAATAAAAGATGGTGCAAATTATCATATCAGTGATGAACATTGCCTTGATGACAACAATTCAATGAACTCACGGCACACACCCACTTATAAGATACAACCTCAGCTTCAACTTCTCAAGGGAGGTTTTAATGTACACCCTCTTATAAGACTTTTTTTTTCCTGAAAGAACTTAAACTTTATTCTGCTGTGCAAAATAAGCCACAAAAATTCATCAGTTTATGTAAATATTTATTATGCATGAGTCATCCTTGCAGAAATGTGAAACAAGTTTGTTGTAACTTGATTTCAAGTTTAGCCTAGATGTTATTTCAACCACTCTCAATGTCAAGTGTTTCCTTGAATTAACCAGCACTGGTGCTATATGATGAAGCGTGATTGTATGTGTGGTTGAGGTGCAGAGTCCTTAGAACACTGAGTACCTCTCCCCTTCCATTATGTCTGTGTGGATCAGGTATTGGTGTTTTTCAAAGTCTGATGATGTGGCTAATGGTCTTTTAAAGATAAGGTGATAATATACATGTATGCGGTGTTTATAAGAATTTTAAGGAATAAGTCTCAATTAGGTTTATATATATTTTCAGTCTGCAGTATTACAGAAGGAGAAACAAGCAGTGAAAGAGGCTGCTGAGTTCCTTGTTCTGCACCAAATACCTACTCTTGTAAGTTACAACTAGTTAAAGATATAATTTTTGCTTGAATTTGATATTTGAAAATTGATATATTTATTAATAAAACATTGTAAAAAAAAACATTGGTCTTTGTAAATGCTTTTCATAAGAAAAGATGTCATCTGCAACTAGAGATAATCTGATGAGAAGAGTTAAAATTTTAGGAATAAGTAAACTGCTGCTGTATATAGAATACCAGATATAGCATTCGTATAGTATTTAAGTATTAAACTGTAAAGGGGTATTACTATTTGTTACGATTTCAGGTAAATGATTGCCTAGATCACTCATCTCCACCAATAGATGGCGCCACGTTGACAGAAGCAATGCACACTCGTGGTGTAAACATGCGCTACCTAGGCAAGCTTGCAGAGACTGTATCCAAATATAAATCTGTTTCTTATATCTATGTAAGTATTAGTTATATTGACTTTTTCCCTAGTTTACTTTTTTAAATGGAATAAAGATTACCAGTTTAATGATCCTTGACATTTAATTATATGAGTAAAAAACACTGATATAAGAAGTAAAATCTATTGCAAATTGGCTAGAACCCACCAATATAGGGTTAAAGATTAACCAAAAGTAAGGAAAAACTAAAATATTTAGCAGGTTTAGGTTTTGCTTGTGCGGAATGGTTAAGCTCACTGCCTTCAAGTCACTTGCTCCTTACAGCTGTGGGTTCAAATCCCATCAGGGACTTTGAATTCATTCATGCGAGGAAGCTATCCAGCTAGCTTACAGAATGCCTGTGGTTCTACTCTGGTGCCAGCTTGTGCCTGAAATAAAGCACAAAGGGGCATCTGAGGTCTTCCTCCACCAATAAAGCTGGAAAGTCGCCATTTATCCTTAACAGTGTAGACATGACTTAAAATTCAACAAAATAAACAAACAAATACTGTTTTTACCTCACTAAACATCTTTTTTTTTTGTAGACTATATGTATTGCTGAGATGATCACACGTGCAGCCAAACATTTATACAAGATCCACATGCAGGGAATAGATCAGACAACACTATCTGCAGCTATCAGTCATTTCTTGAACTGCCTGGTAGGATCCTTCCCGACACCACACCCTGGAGTTTCAGTGGATGAGGTATGTAGCTTGGATATTCTGATGCTGGTTTATCATTCATATATAGTTAGTCTTGAAATCAGATAATGGAAATTCACCTGATTTCATGGGCATACAATTACATTTTCATGGTTTAGTCACAAAGGACATTTTCATTGGATCTTTAATTCATGGATTGTCTATGTTACTAAAAAGTAAAATGCATGTTATGTGATGGAAAATAATTTTATAGCAGACAAAATTTAATTTTGTTGGAACTTTAAATTTGTGGATTCATCTATCTAATCACAGAGATTACTCACACAAGAATAATGACTGCAGTGTATGACAAGAGATGTAGGAAAACAAGATGCAGATACAATAAATTCAAGTCTATTTTAAGTGATGGGTATCTTAGTAGAAAATAATATGCAATTGTCGTATACCAATGTATAAACCATTAACATTTATCAGTTGTGGGATTTTTTGCCGATATCCAGTCAGATTGGTGTGCGAAGGACAGCTCTTTCATTGTTTGCGATATGGTTTTGATGAGGCGATTAAAACCAGTCAAAACAGTGTTTCTATACAATTTCCGGTATTACAGACAGATTGCAGCAACCAATTAAATTCAGATGTAAAAAGTTCAGTATTAAAAATTAGAGGTGTCATCGATAAGGATTTTTGTATCGATATATCGGTAATGAATTATCGGCGATACAGCGATATATCCATTGCCAGGCTAAATTTTAGCTTTCAAGTCTTTTTAAATGTCCCTAAGGACACTGACAAAGCAGTAATATATAGACAAATGCAAATAAGATAAGCTATGAAAACTGAACAATTTGTTTCTTTTTTATCATATAGCTATAAATGAAAACTAATGACTAGTAACTATAAAGTTTAAAGCCTTTTCCATTTTACTTTAGTTGTTGTTGTTGCTATTAGGTAGTTACTGATCATGCTAAATCCTGTCCTTGCCATTACAATTAAGCCGGGTTTAATTGGCAAATTATAGTGTTTAGAACCTGAATAATTATTAAAGTAATCATAATTTTTACAAAGAAATACTGACAAATTTTTCTTGGCATTTTCCCCTTTTAAAATCTGAAATAAGGGGTCTTGACATCCACTTAGCAGACGTGCGAGATTACAACGAAATTAGGCATCATTCGTTAGAGACACTGGGAGGTAACTTTGGCATTGATTTCCATTTTCATTTTAGAAAAAAAAATGTTTCTGGCATCCATAACTTTATATGTCGCTTTTATTTTGATTTTTGCGACAGTAAACAGGTCTTTCAGTTCTATAAAACTTGTTCGCTGAAGTCTCTTTAGCTAGAAATATATGTGCATTCGATATCTGATTTTTATACCCCCACCACAAAATGTGGGGGGGGCTATAATGGATTCGCTTTGTCGCGTCGGTCGGTCCGTCCGTCGGTCGGTCCGTCTCCATTTTCGTGTCCGCTCTATAACTCCTATACCAATTGAAGGATTTTCTTCAAACTTGGCTCAAATGTTCACCTCAACAAGGGGATGTGCAGAACCCATATTGCCCATGTGTCAGTTCAAGGTCAAGGTCACAATTGAAGGTCAAATATCAAACACTATCAAATATTACACAGTATGTCGTGTCCGCTCTGTAAGTCCTACACTACTTGAAAGATTTTCTTCAAACTTGGCTCAAATGTTCACCTCAACCAGGGGATGTGCAGAACCCATGTCGCCCATGTGTCAGCTCAAGGTCAAGGTCACAATTGAAGGTCAAATATCAAACAATTAAATATTACACAGTATGTCGTGTCCGCTCTGTAAGTCCTACGCTACTTGAAAGATTTTCTTCAAACTTGACTCAAATGTTCACCTCAACCAGGGGATGTGCAGAACCCATGTCGCCCATGTGTCAGCTCAAGGTCAAGGTCACAATTGAAGGTCAAATATCAAACAATTAAATATTACACAGTATGTCGTGTCCGCTCTGTAAGTCCTACACTACTTGAAAGATTTTCTTCAAACTTGGCTCAAATGTTCACCTCAACCAGGGGATGTGCAGAACCCATGTCGCCCATGTGTCAGCTCAAGGTCAAGGTCACAATTGAAGGTCAAATATCAAACAATTAAATATTACACAGTATGTCGTGTCCGCTCTGTAAGTCCTACGCTACTTGAAAGATTTTCTTCAAACTTGACTCAAATGTTCACCTCAACATGGGGATGTGCAGAATCCATGTTGCCCATGTGTCAGCTCAAGGTCAAGGTCACAATTGAAGGTCAAATATCAAACAATCTAATATTACACAATATGTCATGTCCGCTCTGTAAGTCCTACACTAATTGAAAGATTTTCTTCAATCTTGGCTCAAATGTTCATCTCAACCAGGGGATGTGCAGAACTTATGTCACTCTTTTGCTGGCTTAAGGTCAAGGTCACACTTTAAGGTCAAAAATTTGACTTAGAAAATATTCTTAATTTTTAACATTTATTTGAATATTTCTAAATCTAGAAAAGGTATTTGCTTGAAACTTAGAATATTTTTGAAGGGTCACAATTCCGATATGCTGTTCGTTCAAGTTTCATAACTCTGTATTACATTTTACCAAAGTTATGCCCCTTTTAAGTCTTCAAATTTTCATACAATCAAATATTAGACAATTTGTTGTGTCCGCTCTATAAATCCTATACTAATGGAAGAATTTTCTCCAAATTTTACTCAAATTTTTCAACTCAACAAGGTTAATATGTGCAGAGTCCATGTCACCTTTGTGCCGGCTAAAGGTCAAGGTCACACTTGGAAGACAAAAATTGACTTAGAAAATGTTCTTAAATTTTTACATGTACTTGAATAATTCTGAATCTAGCACAGGCATTTGCTTGAAACTTAAAAGATATATGAGGTGTGGCAAATAAGATATGCAGGTTAAGTTTCATTACTCTGTATTGCATTTTGACAAAGTTATGCCCCTTTTTAAGTCTTCAAATTTACATACAACCAATACTAGACAATATATTGTGTCTACTCTATAAATTCTATACTTATGGAAGGATTTTCTTCAAACTTTACTCAAATGTTCAACCAAACTGGGTGATGTGCAAAACCCATTTTACCCTTGTGCCAGATTAAGGTCAAGGGCACACTTGAAGGTCAAAAATTGACTTATAAATAAAATGTTTAATACATTGGGAAAATGAAAGGTTATTTGTAACTGTTTTGAACATGATTTGATAATATATATTTATACTATTACCTTTACCAATAGTCTTTATTTCACCAGAGATAATTTCTTTTTATGTATTTGTGCCACATAAGTTATTCGCTTAACCACCTTTCCAAGTGGTCTTCTGTCAAGGACATTGGTGGGGGTATGAATCGCATTCAGCGATAGTTATCCCCCGCCGATGGAATCGGGAGGGGGATATAGTTTTGGCGTTGTCCGTCCGTCCTTCCGTCCGTCCATCCGTCCGTCCGAATTTCGTTTCCGGAGTAGTTCTCTGCAACTAATGGCTGGAATTCAACGAAACTTTATGGGAATGTTGATCAGCATGTGAAGTTGTGCACCTGGGTATTTTCGTCTGGATATTTTTAGTATTTTTAGAGTTATTGCCCTTGACTTAGTAAAACGTCCGAATTTCGTTTCCGGAGTAGTTCTCTGCAACTAATGGCTGGAATTCAACGAAACTTTATGGGAATGTTGATCAGCATGTGAAGTTGTGCACCTGGGTATTTTCGTCTGGATATTTTTAGTATTTTTAGAGTTATTGCCCTTGACTTAGTAAAATTTTGTAATTTTCAACTTGTGTCGCATGTAACTCAAAAAGTATTTGACCTAGAGTCATGAAACTTTACAGGAATGTTGATCAGTATGTGTAGTTGTTGTACCTGGGTATTTTCATCTGGATATTTTTAGCATTTTTAGAGTTATTGCCCTTGACTTAGTAAAATTTTGTAATTTTTCAACTTGTGTCGCATGTAACTCAAAAAGTGTTTGACCTAGAGTCATGAAACTTTACAGGAATGTTGATCAGTATGTGTAGTTGTGCACCTGGGTATTTTCGTCCGGATATTTTTACTATTTTTAGAGTTATTGCCCTTGACTTAGTAAAATTTTGCAATTTTCAACTTGTGTCACATGTAACTCAAAAAGTATTTGACCTAAAGTCATGATACTTTACAGGAATGTTGATCAGCATGTGTAGTTGTGCACCTGGGTATTTTCGTCTGGATTTATTTAGTATTTTTAGAGTTATTGCCCTTGACTTAGAAAATGTTTGCAATTTTCAACATGTGTCGCATGTAACTCAAAAAGGATTTGACATAGAGTCATTTAACCTTATTGGAAAGTTGCTCAGCATATTTAGTTTGTTCCTGGGGTTTCGCTTGTGGATTTATCCAGTATTTGTAGAGTTATTTCCCTTGACTTAGTAAAAAACTGTTTCATTATGTTGTTATTTGATCCTTGAGTGCTTGAGTTAGAATCAACCAACTTTACAGGAATAATGATCAACATCACTAAATTACGAATAATGAAGTCTGGAGATTAAGATGTTTTTACATCTAGGTGAGCTATTGTGATCCCCCACCGTCCGTCGTCATGCGTCGTCAGCAATTTCTTTAAACAACATCTCCTCAGAAACAAATGACTGCACAGCAACCAAACTTTACAGGAATGATCCTAGGGTGGTCCCCTGCCAAAGTTGATCAAATGGTTCTGGTCTGTTGCATAGCCTTATGTCTTCAGTTGTTGTGTTAATAATAACCAGTACTCGGCGGGGGATATAAATTCAACGAATTTGCTTGTTCTAGTTAAAAAATGGAATCGATATCGAATCGGATAACAAAGATCGTTGATACACCGATATCAATTGAATCGATGACACCCCTATTAAAAATGTGAATGATTTCCAGCAAAAAAAGCATAAAGAATTTACTGTTACAGTTACTGAACCTTTGCAGTTGGAGAATATGAATTTTGTTAAACTCGATTTCATTGGTTGATATTTTACGCACCTGTTGCTGTATATCCACACAAATCAATTCATTTTACCCACATTGAACATTTATTTTTATGTTCAAGGAACATTTATTTTTATGTTCAAGGAACATTAATGTTTATGTTTTCAGGGTAAAGGAACAAGAAAGAAGAATAAGAGACGTAACAAGGGTATAGCTATCAGTATTGATAACACAGAGTGGGTCAACGAAACACCAAAATCATTGTGGAAGAAAATCATTGATGAAGTTGACGAGTATTTTCACTACACACTAGAATGGTGAGATTTTGACAGTTCTAGTTAATTGATATTATTACCCCTGACTATTTTTGTAAATGTTAATTTCTCATAGGCCAGTGGGAGTTATTTTTACTGCTAATTGAAGTGTACCATATGACTTGAAATTTTCATGGTAAAACTTTGGAAAGCAAAAACCTATAGAAACAGTGTCCCAATGAAGTTTTTGTATTGGGGTAATAAAATGAATAACACAAAGGTTTGTGAGTAACAGCCAAAATATCATCTTGTAAAAATACTGTTACACTCAGCCAAAGCCAAATCATCTTGTATCAGCGCTATGTGACCTATACTGTGTTGGTGCCATAAAATCAAACAAACAAAAATGTAACTAAATTGCACTTCTGAAAGGTGCTGAATTCAACTTAGCATGGTAAATAAGCTCTTTGAGTCTCCCAAATCGATGCTTTAAGAAATTTGTATTTAAGTTGTAAATTTGAACGAAATGTTTTTTCAAGAATTTATTTCTCGTTTTCAGTGATTCGATTGACTCGGCAGTAGAGAAGTATGGAATACAGAAAGTATCGTTACTACGTTCATTCTGTCAATGTGTTGGTGTACAGATCTTGTTACGAGAGTATAATCTCGAGATTAGAAGTAGGGCAATCTTCGCTGAAGATGATATAGTCAATGTCTTTCCAGTTGTTAAACATATTCACCCCAGGGTGAGTGTTGTAGTATTTAGTCAGTGGAAGACGTCCTTTTATAATGTAAATGTTGACTGTTAAAAATGTTTTGTCTCAAATTGAAATTGAACAATACATAAATACATAAGTGGACGACATACCTGATATGTTTGAGTAAGTTCTTACATTTTCACCTTTTAAACCATTTTCACCTTTTAAACCCCTATAATATGTGTATATTTTTTTTCAACGGTACTTAAAAGTACGTAAAGTTTAATATCTTTGTTATTTCCAGGCATCAGATGCTTATCACTTTTTCTCAAGTGGTCAATCTAAGATACAGCAAGGATCACTTAAGGAAGGATATGACCTGATCTGTGAAGCTCTCAATCTTCTCAATAACGTGTACGGAGCCATGCATCCGGAGATTGCAGCATGTCTACGTCTTCTCGCCAGATTGAATTATATCATGGGCGATTATCCAGAGGCGATGAGCTATCAGCAGAGGGCGGTGTTGATGAGTGAACGAGTGCTCGGAATCGATCATCCAAATACTATAACAGAATATGTAAGTAACAGCTCTAGTGTCTATTAAACTAGGTTTTTTTTAATATCAACGGTTCTACTCCAGCTCAAATTATGATTTTAAACCTATAGCCAGTTGTTTGCTTATGTTTAACATACATAATGGAGTGATAGAACATAAAGGTGTAGTTTTTAAAATTTAAGAATTCATGTATAATATACAACTATTTTTTCAGAAACATTGTATGTTGTTTATAAAACTATAAACGGTATCTTGTATCTTTCAGAAGCTAAATGTATAGTTTTTAAGTTGATATAAACATTTTACTTGTGTTTATTTCAGGCACATCTTGCGCTGTATTGTTTTGCTAATAATCAAGTATCGAGTGCTCTACGTCTGATGTACAGAACACGGTACCTGGCTCTGCTTTGTCACGGGGAAAATCACCCGGAAACTGGTCTCATAGATGTAAGTATAAAGTTTTGTCCCTATTTTACCAGGGAATTAATCAGTATTTGTCAGTTTTTCAACTTTTTGTGGAGTTGTGATGAGAAATACATTAAAATCGTGCATATACAGGGTAATCATGTGCATTCAACAGAAATAATATAATATTTGTCTCGTCCAAATGACAAGGCTTTACTTTCTTGTAAAACACGTGTGTAAATTAAATATGTGATTTATTATTTCGGTTCTTGCAGTTGTAAATAGTAGTTAGTTGCAGAGAAATTTGTTATCAATTATTACTGAAAAGTTATCCGGTTGATCGACTGCCGAGATATGAACTAAAAAATAATAAGAAGAAGAAAATAAGCAACTGTTAAACTTATTGAATTTCAACAATTCAACTGATATTTACAGAGTAACATTGGATTGATATTACATGCTGTTGAGGAATATGACCGTTCTCTGACCTTCCTAGAACATGCCTTACAACTTTACCAAAGGTAAATATGTCTTATCTTTTTATTGTGGTTTAAAAATGGACCAGTCTTGCTTTGAATATGGAACTGTTGATTGATGTTTTTTTTTTCTTGCAGGCTGGGGAAGCAGACGTTTCTCCGATTTTGGGGGGAAAATAATATGGTATTTTTGTAAAAGGGGTCAATTCATATCTTAGGGAAAACTGCATGATTATTCATCATGATTGCTATTGGATTTCAAAATGATTAAATGTATAACATTGTCTTTATCTATGGTCAACACTTGTACAAAATTCAGTATTTTATTCTATGTTATTTTTCCAGATTTTATGGATCAAAGAGCTTGAAGGTTGCCATGAGTTACCATTTGGTTGCTAGGACACACTCTTGTCGCGGAGATTTCAGGGCAGCATTAAACAGTGAAAAGGAGGCATATACAATCTACAGACAAATGGTAAAATACAAGAAGCTAGCAAATAATTTTTTTTTTTTTAGTGCCAGATGGAGTTGTTTACTAAAATGTGTTGATAGATATAGTATACTTAATTCATCATTTAGGCAGTTATACAGTTTGTTTACGAGAAGGTTGATGTGCTCACTCAGCTGGAAGTAATTCACTGAGAAATATGAACGTTTTCCTCTATCTGTAAAGCTACAAATTTGCCAAATGACCTATGGGTTTGAATCCCATATGGAACTGGATTTATTTATGTGAGGAAGTTATTCAGAAGTTTACGGAAAGTTTGTGGTTCTGCTCCAGTGCTTACTTGTGCCTGAAAAAAATGCATCAAAGGGGCACTGAAGATCTCCCTCCGCCAGTAATGCTGGAAAGTCACTGTATGATCTTTACAATGTTGGTGATTTAAAATCTGACAAAACAAACATTTACAGTGATGTAGGTCTTGAAAGACTGAAAACTGTAGATACTTGGATAAACCAGTTTATAAATCATCATGATTTTTTATGTGTGTTCTCTCCTTCTCTTGCAGGGCCAAAAAACCCTTCTTTATAGAGGCCGAATATAGGCTACTTCCCCAACCAAACTAGCCTCTTTTTTTCCCCAGTTTGGTCCTCAAAATTCCCCAGTCTTTTGAAATTTCCCATAGAATTTAGAATAAAGTTAAATGATGGTGTTGAATTAAGGTCTTTTACTGCCTTATTTGTATTTCCCAGTGCTTTTTGCTTTTCTATTTTGAAGACCTTGTTAAAAATTTGTGTTAAATTTGAGACCCCTTTTCCCAAAGTATGCCAAAATCACGAATATTTTCCCCAAGAAAAAGGCTGCGGCTCCTTCCCCAAAAATGGTGTGTTGGCCCTGTCTTGATTTTGTTGATTTACAGTGATGATGTGATTTGGTAAGAAAAAAAGGGAGTTATGTGTGAATATCAACACATTTACTCATGCCTTATATATGAATATTGAAAATGAAAACTTGTATTGAATGAAAAGTAATTTACTGATGCTCATTCATGCCACTTTGTTTGATTCACTTGGGAGAAAAAAGTTAACTATTCAAAACATACAAACACCACATGGCTTTTACCAACATGAGTTTATCATTTTAGAAAAATGCAAGCATGTTTGTATATACCATTGTAATACTAGTAATGATGATGGTGTTATATATTTATATAGCTGGGAGAGGAGCATGAAAGAACAAAGGAGAGTGGCGAATGCCTCAAACATCTTACACAACAAGCTGTCGTCTTCCAGAAAAAAATGAATGAAATCGTGAAGGGAGAAAAAGTCACATCCTTGGCCGGTTTACAGGTGATTTATTTGCTATACATGTATTTTCAATTCTAGTAAAATGATAAGTAATGCTTTAAAGGTATACTATGCTCAAATTTGATACCAGAAAATAGTGATAATTGCTTCAGATTCTCTTAGTAAATATAAGATAAAAATGTTTTGACATCACACAAAGTAGATATGTTTAAAATTCTATACACTATAGGTGGTCACCATATGAACATATTGTCATTTTTAAGAAAATATCGAGTGTACTTGATCGGTGATAGGGAACACAGCTTCCTATACATAATTTATTCATTCTTTTATTCAAATTAGACCTATTCAGTAAGAATTTTATAGATTTCAATAAATTTCTGTGATTAAAATATTTCACTCAAGGATGAGCAAAGTATACCTTTAAATAGTGAAGTGGTGTAGATAACTAATATTGTTGCACTTGCACTAGATTCAGATGTGATTGAGCACATGCTATTGTTAGTTTTGGATGCAATATAAGCATTGGGTTTATAAAACTCATGTGGGTTGTATTCAATATTCTTATATTAAAACTCTAGGTGTAGGTTCATTTATGCTTTGGGCATTAACTTCTTTCAAGTGAAGGAGTTATCTCTGCTTGCTTTCTGAAGGCTGTTGGTTCTACTTAGGTCCTGTTTTCGCTTGTAATGATGGATTATGATGCATATAGAATATAACTCTTGACAGATAAATCCTGAGAGAAAAAAACGTGTGACATCAAGAATGTAATAAATTGACGCGCATACATGCACATGTAAATTGCTTCAAGATGTATGTATGAAAGTAACTCTGCCAAGGTCAGGCCAGAACTGGAAGCTATATACATGATTCAAAAAACATTTAAAAACTATGTTAAAGAACAGCTGAAGCAAATTTGGTTGCCATAAGTAGATTTATCATAAATTTGTATTTAATCATAACTTTGTATTTTATTTCACAGATTCAAACTCCGTCCATGCACAGCGTAATGGAAATGTTGAATGTTATCAATGGAATAGTTTTTGTACAAATTAGGTAGGTCATTTTAGAAATCTGTACTTTTCCATGCATTTTGTAATTACAATGTAGTTTAAATGGTTTGGCATGTTCTGCTCATGTTAAGATCAGAATGTAGAGAGAAAATGTAAACGAGTGTAAATGTTAACAGTAGCAGTGTTAAATTAATCAGGCTACATTAGTATTGCTTTTGTGCTTAACATTCATTAAGTGATATGTTACCATTTGTCGCATATTATCTGTATTCAAAGCTTGCGAAAATTTATGAATTATTATAAATTTTAATCTTAGAAAGTAATTGTGCCAGGATTTTGTAATTTGTTATATAATATAGACTTTAAAAGGTTATATGACCGAACAGTTGTTTTATATATACACCTCTTTTTGTTGCTTCAGTGACATAAAATTAGATTTGCAATTTTATTAATTTGTGGCATATAACTTACAAAAAAATTACATTATAGGATAGCATATCCTAGGCCATTTTATAACCTGCCAAAAAGTCTATAACTAACCTGTCAGAATTCTTTATAACTAATAGGATAATATTTACTGGGTCATATAACCTAAAAATAAATAAATATATAACTAATAGGATATTTACTGGGCCATATAACCTGCCAGAAAAAAATAAATCTTTATTAAAAGGATAATACTTATTGGGCCCTATAACCAGGGTTGTCATTAACATTTTTTGCAGAAGGTTTGTTTTGAACTTGAGGCGGTCATTTCTGTCTTTATCATGCATAACAAAGAGTGTTTTCTTAATTTTGAGGCGGCCCATAATGCATTTGAGACAGGCATTTTGGCCTCCTGCCGCCTCTTAATGACAACCCTGCTATAACTGGCCGAATACCTTTATAACTCACAGGATAACAATGTTATAACTGCACAATTGCTTTTGTTAAAAATATAAAAATATATATTGTCCAACCTTGACCAGTTATAAACTTTGCCTCTTTCTATTCATCCTTAACAGTCCTGATGAAATTGAAAGGCTCAGAAAAGAAATTGGAAAGAAACCAGAACAAAAGGCAGGAGAGAAAGATTCAGAAAGTAAAGCTAGTGATAGTGGTAACGAATCTGACAATGTCAATTCTCCAGAAAAAGACGATCTTGCCAAAACTGAGAAACAGTTGATAAATGGTGAGGTACATGTGGAAGAAATCGCAGTGGGACATTGAAATGTGGGGGGATTATGATTTTGAAGTGATAAACTACTGTAGACATAGGCAAGCAAAGTGATCCACATGAAAAAAAAATTGATATAAATTGTGTGATATTGAAATTTTTAAGCGCTGTTTTGAGTTTTGGTAACTCTTCACTGTAATAAAAGAGAGACAAATTTAGGTTGGTTTTTACTTTTGATGGTAACTCTCACAGACAATTGGCACACAGTAACTGGCGCGTAACAGTATCTCGAAGATATCTTTGTTCAGTTCTTGTGTATAGATGGATGAACTGGAAAAAAGTGCTTCACATCATTGCTGCATTGTTGTTTTAGATTATCATGTGTGTTACAAGTGGTGCTTTATTTAGAATCTAAAGAGACACACTTCCAGGACAGTCGAAAAGTATAAACTTTCAAATCCTCAAACTCGGAGAAAAAAAAAGATATTTGAAGTTTTAAAGAAATGTAAGAAATTTTTGCAATCTGTGTAATGCCTTGCGTGTATTATGTAAAAGAATTTTTGTATTAAACCCTTAGTCTGCTGGTGTTTTTAACCATGTGACAAGTGTAGATGCAGGCATATCCCTGGCATCTGATCATTCACTGCACTGTTCATTAATGAGTCAAAACATATTTTGAAATTTTCCCTTGAAAATGAAGTATTTAAAATGAGGAAATATTTTGAAACTTTCCCTTAAATTGAAAGTTTTGAAAAGTCACTAGACAAATAGTCTTAATATTTTGAATACACTGTGAATCTTTTTAAAAAAAGTGCAAGAAGGTGCTTTTGGTCACCTATAATAGAAATGAAATATTGAACATTTTATTGGTTATATTTTATAAGATCATTGTTTCATCTAATAAAGGAATGCTGAATTGAAAATAAAATCACTGTTCTTGCACCAAAACTTTAAATGTGAAAATAAGGGTGACTATTATTTGACACGCAGATATCAGTTTTCTACTCTCTTTTACAAATGTATGAATAAAACAGACAATTAATAGTTTGTATAAATTCTCCACAAGTATTTCTTTAAGTAATGATGAAAATTAGTTGTGATGAAGATTTTACTCTACTATTCTTTAATATCTTATAAATCTCAAAACAGATATTTGATGAAGGTATTTGAAATCTCATAATCATAATTCAGTTTTAGTTTATGATTTTTAACTCCTTTGTTAAGGCACTTTTATTTCTTGCACTTCCTATTTTTCTTGCATTGAAACAAGTTAGATCTATTATTTTTCTTGCATTAAAACAAGTGAAAGTAATTTGTTGATGGGGAAAAAAAGGTTGTCACAGTTTCATAAAAAATTTAGTTATGTGTTTTTAAAAATATAAATAAATCCAAATACACTGGTTTTTTAGGTTTTTAATAATTTAAATATGGAAAAAACTTTATTCAGAATGCTCCAAATTTTTTTTGAACTAACCTTCGTTTTACCAACGGAATAGAATGTTAAAAACAAAAATTGCCAGGCTTTATACTGTTTGCAGCTCAATTTTTGTGTCTTGATATTGAAATCCCTTGAACTTTGAATGGACTGTTTCAAATTCAAAGCTGGACAGATTCATTATAGAAATATAGCAGATTAACGGTTGAAAGTTTGAACCAATCAGTAATTGTTTTTCTTATCTAAAACTAGAGCAGTAAGTGTGGTATAAAAGTGCTTATAATTATTATGTTCAGATTTTGTTGTTGTTTACTTTTGTGGGTGAAAACCATGGAACAAAACCGTAGATAAGAAAACATTGTTAACATACTGGTGGAGTGAATTGTGTAGATACCTGTATCCTGTTCCAGCATGTATATCTATGTACATGTAT